TTGTTGAGTTCGTTTACGAAGTGTATCAGGTACTTTCAATAATTTAAATCGATTCTCAACATTTTCTTGAGCTATTTGTTGAATTTTATTTTGTTTTGTAAGAAATAAATCATTGATTTCTTGTACATTCTTATATGAAGATTCAAAAATTAAATTATCACGATAATCTGCGGAAAAGATCTTCATTAAGTCATTACGTATATGTTCACGAATTTTATTATCTAAATGTCGTTCATGAATATCTCGATAATAGGCGAGATCAAAAAATTTTTGTAATGCATCAAAAACTGTTCTTGATGATGATAACCATTGTAAAGGATCAGAGAAGTCATTTGTTGGAACTAAACATAGTTGAGCTGAACGAATGATTTTGCCAGATAATACATGGACACATTCAATAAATTCTGGTGCTGTTTTAACAGCATTAGGTAAATTCTTTCTTAAATGCAGATGGAAGTGTATGAAATGTTTCTTTTCGAATAACAATTGATTGACCTAAACCAAATTTTTTCAAATCGGAAATAATTCGATCAATAGCTGCTTGATTATTTTCAATATTTAAATCTGCTTTTTGATTTAAAATGAAGTGAACACTCGGTTGGGGAATTCGTGTAACACCCATTTTTTCTAATGAATCAGTACATAATGTTAACATCGATTGTATGATCGTACTCACTTCGCCAACCATTTTGACAATGACTAAATGAGAAACAGCCAAACAAAAAAGAACAATACGCCGATCAAATTCCGGATCTTCTCGTTAAATTCCTAATAAACCTTCGGTATCAATTAACATAATATTTTCAAAATCTGTTCGATTTGTTTTAACAAATGAACCATAAATACCTCGTGTACATCGGCCATCACGAACATCAAATAAAGTACCAAACATATAATTTACTACGAATTTTGTGGTCCAATGATACTAATTACTAATGTTCGATGATTATGAAATGGTTGTAAAACTTCAAATAAAAATGAATATTGAAAATAGAAATTATCACCATCAACAATTTCAAATGGAAAACCAGCTTTAATATATTCATAATATTGTTGCTGAAGATATTTTTGAACTTTTTCTTGTTTATGTTGACTACAAACAATAGCATTACGCCATAAAACTTCTAAAGATAAACGTTTTTGTATAGGTAATTCTGTAGCCATATCAGCAGTTGAAACTAATTGTGCACGTTCTTGTTTTAATGCTGCTGTTAATAATTCTAAGCATGTTAACATATTGAGTGCTTTCAAAACATTCAAAAATCAATTATAAATTATACGCGGATCTGTTGTTATCATTTCAGATGGACCTTCTAATTCAAAAATTTTACGTCGAACTTCATAGACAAGAGCATCATTTTCATTGCCATAGAAATTAAAACGTGCTAATTTTAGTTTTAATGCACATAATTCAACAAATCTTAAATATTCAGGAAAAAATCGAGTGACCCTGCTTTCATCAGCAGCTATTTCTAATAATACTTGTTGTAATGGTAGAATAGTTGTATACATTTGATCTAAATGTTGTTTATATTCATTGTCCATTAAATCTTTTAAGTTATTTTTAATAAAAGTCATATCACGTCGACATTCAGTGGGAATTTTTTCCCAGATTTGATAACCTAATGTTAAAATAAAATGTTTATTTTGTTTTTTATTTTGATCGGCAATATCAGGTGAAATAAATGTATCAATACCAGCAAATGTGGATGATAATAGAGTGGAACATTGACTATGTTGATCTGTTGGAACATCACGAACAATTATTAATCGATATTTTCTTTCACTTCTAATTACATTGAAGAAATCAAGAACACAATCGATATTATTAAGAAGAAATTTATATTCAACATGAATAAGAAATCCATCGAATAATTCATGAATTCGTTCAAATAATGTTTTCATCATAGAACCATGAGCATCAGCAATATTCGTTGATCGTCGTGGTAAAAAACTATAACCAAAATCAATATCAATCGTATTTTGAAAATAAATACTTGATTGTTCAAAAGATGAAAGAAAAACTGTATTGATTATTGTCGATTTACCATAACATGGACCAATACCAAAAGAAAGAATAGTTGAAATTGAATAATCCCAGATATAAATAATATCTGAAACAAATTGATAGGATGTGATATCATTCGTTAATGATGGTTGAAGAAATGGAACAAGATTTCTTTTACTTAACAATGACATAATCTTTCGTGATATGATAAATCAGAATTCAATAAAAGAATATGTAGAATCCTTCGAAGAGTTAATTTATGTGCTGAAAGTGATGACTCAACTTGAGAATATTTGAAAAATAAACTTTCAGTAAAATTATCAAGATTTTGATGTCGTTTCAATAGATACATGATTGGTATCAGGCAAGCATTGATAAATGAAGCAAAACTATGTTTAAAACAATAATCTTGAATAATATTGTCTAGGACATGATCAAGTTTCTGATCAATATACATTAATTCACCCGCTTCAACCAAATTTGATAATTGTAATTTTTCATGCTCATTGATACACATGGTGATCATTTTACATTCTCGAGTTCGTTCTTGTCGTCGTATATCATCATCGTTCCTAATGGTACTCATTGTTGTTGGTAACACATGATGATTTGAATATTCATTATTAGACAAACTAGAAGAAACTACTCCAATGTCATTGACGAGTCCTTGAGAGGACATCTGTGTATTTTGTGTAGCGGTTAAAACAGATCCACCTGAATTTGGATGAGAAGGGACAGGAGTGAATTGTAGTGGTTGTGATGATGAGTTGATCAAGTTTAGTTGTTGAGGTGGTATATTTCCCGCTCGTCATTCGGCGATGATTGATTCGGTGTGGGCAAACCTTATTTTAGTAAATATTCTTTTAATTTTTCAATGAGTATTTTGAACCTTTTTGGTGCAATAGACTCGGTGACTTTTTCATCATGTAAACCTTTCCACCAGCCAGAATTTGCCACACAACCGACAGCAATTTCCAATATGTGTGGCTTATCAATATTGACTTCTTCTTGTTTAAATAAATCTTTCAACGGTTGACCTTGATGACCTTCACTGAGCATAGTATTCCACATCCGATTGCATAAATTATCATCCTCCATTGTTTTATCATCAAATTCGAATAGAAATTGAAGTATTAAAGATAATACTGCATTGTCTTTCATAAACTTCGAACCATATTCAGCAGTTCGTGTCAATATCTTATTATAAATAGCAAATGATTGTGATGTTTGTTTTTGAAGGAATGCATGGAACCATTCTTCAGTAATCGTTTCTTTTCATTGATGTTCGACATAAGTTTTTAAGATAACTAAAATTTTACTTTGATTGTTACTCATTTCTTTTTTAAATACAGTTGGTGTTACATCTTGTTCATAATCTCGCAGAGTGTGTCGTCCTTTAATTATTAATTCTTTGGCAATGATTTTTGATTCAGTTGAATCATCGAGCTCAAGAACTTCAGCTATTTTCGATATGCACTGCTTTTCTAATGAATCTGATGCAGATATTAAATTGCTCTCGTAATTACTATTAGTTGATTCAAAACTCCAGAATTATCAGATACTTGAGATGAAGATAATCGAAATGTTTTAATCAATTTAAACGTATCTCTTTTGAGAAATGAATATTTTGGCAAGAAATTGCGTTTCTCAAAAGATTTCTCTCATTTTTTCTCATTTCTATATTTCAAATAAAAATTAAATTAAATAAGAAGTAGAAGCAGCCACGATTATCTTAAGTGGTAATTAATACTTCTGTTTAAAAAAGATTTTAAAATTTTAAAAAGAAGTTAATTTGTCAACTATTTATAAACTGCAAACGTCAAATGTTGTTTCGAAATGTTTTTAAATAATACTGCTCAAAGCAATGTCTTTTCACTCTTCAAAAAATTATCATGGATTTTGTACGAAAGCAAAGTCAAAAAAGCGCTTCTGCCATATTGTTCAAAGAAAATCTTTTTCGACGTTAACGTATAAATAAAAATGGTTCTGAACGATGGGTATGTACAGTTAGTAGTTGTGCTTCATCGATTAATTTGCAAAATGATAAAATTATATATGTAAATGGTACACATAAACATGATAACACTCAGTTTCCTGCACATGTCGATGAAATTGTTCGTGGTATTAAACGTAAAGTTGACGAAGATCCAAAAACAACAATTCAATAAAGGACGGGGGACGATCAGAGGCAACATCGGCCAACGCTCAAATCAGTCTTATGTTAACTCATCTAATGCAGTTTTTGTCCAAGGTTAACGCTAACATATTTTTAAATCTTAAAAATCCTTCTGAGTGCCCCTGGAAACCTTTTAGCAAAAAAACTCTTCTTGCATTAAGCCACGTTTTCTCAAAGTATTTACATTATTCAACCTGTTTCATCCACAGCAAATATCAACTGTCATACACCGTTCGAGAGACAATTTCACGAGCTACAAAATGATATATGAGATGACCTTAAGATAATGTAAGTGGGTACTCTAAGATCCGGAATACTCGGTAGCATCTCAGTAAACTGATGGGTCAATGTGGTTCATGTTTATAATAATGGCTTATTTTCTCGTTAACCACTCCACTTCATGTATCATTCGATAGAGAATTTCACTGGCTTCAAAATGATATATAAGATAGTCTTAAGAAAATGTAACTGGGTAGTCTAACACCCGAAATACTTGGTAGAATCCCAGGAAACCGGTAGATCAACGTCGTTCATGTTTATAGTATCCATTGATTTGCCGTTAACCACTCTACTTTATACATCATGCGATAGAAAATTTCACGGGCTTCAAAATGTTTATAAGATAATCTTAAGAAAATGTAACTGGGTAGTCTAAGATCCAAAATACTCGGTAGTTTCCCAGGAAACCGATAAGTCAACGTCGCTCATATTTATAACGGTGACTAATTTTCTCGTTAACCACTCCACTTTATATATCATTCGATAGAGAATTTCACGGGCTTCAAAATGATATATAAGATAGTCTTAAGATAATGTAACTGGGTACATAAAATCCGTTATGTACAGAGAAATTTAGACAAGCTCGAGGATGACACTCCCAGGTGACTTTTCTCTGCAAAATTGTCTAATCCCAAGTTTCTAGTTATGGTTTTAGGTAGTACCAATGGTGTGTTGCATTTGCTACATGGTAAATTTTAGAAAATAACCATTAGCTAGAAGCATGTGTTTTTTTTCATTCTTTAAAATTTCTTAAGTTACACTATATCAAACGAATGTTTAACTGTAGTGAAATGAAATAATTTAACTTAAATTAACAGAAAATGATAAATGATGATTAAGAAAAAAGTATGGTTGCAAATCTCTAATTATCAGACTAAATTTCTTTTCTTAAAATTCATATGTTAACTTATGAAGTAATAATAAGTAGGAAAGTTTTATAAATTCTAATTTTCTATAAAGTTATTTTAATTTTTCTTATCTACAAAAGTGCATTGAAGTGGATAGACTAGAATTAATAGAAAAATTGTGAAAAGAAGTAATGTCTGCTTTTATCAAATTTTGTCCGTCTGACATGTTAAATAACTAAATGTAATTTAACCACATTTTTTTCTCCATAATGAGAGAAAGGGTTGAGATAAAAAAGACTTTATCATGCTTCTTCATCTTTTTTACATGTCTATCATCTTGTTATTAAACTCCTTTTCATTTTTATTCATTAGAAATCACTAGAAAGAGAAAAAGACAACGACAATGAAACGATCTGAAAGCGGTGAATCTCTTGATACATGTATTCACGCCGATTCAAATGGTTATTCTACCAATGTTACCAAGAATAAAAGTTTTGTTCAAACTAAAAGTTGTACCATTTCCATTTGGTGGATGTCGCGTATGTCAATCGAAGGTAAGTCTTCCACTAGTTTTAGCGGTACCGAAACAATTTCTCTTCGGCCTTTTTTGTGTCGGACACTTCGTTCCACCTTATTCGTCTCATAGACAGTTTGTTTCAATATTTTTCGTCTGTAAACGTCCTCATACCAGCGAGGGCGTTGTACGCTGACAGCATCAACTGGTTCAGGCGTTGCGTTCCGTTTCCTCAAAATCAACTTATCGAAAGCAGGTTTGAGCGAATCCAAGTCAGTCTAACTTCTTAAAAATTCATTCCAAGTCCGAGGCCATTTCGAGTCCGGTAATCTTTTAGATTTTTTTTTGATGATTGTGGTTTATTTCTCTTTTTTTTCTGGGAGGCGTGAATTTCGGCCCACGAACTTTTTGTCCCGGACTTTCGGCCCGGGCCGAAAGCCTGAAAGGAATTTCGGACCAAACCTTAATTTACTTAATTAATTTTACAAATAATTAGTAAACTTCATGATGCTCGGCAGTACGACATGATGCTTGGCAAGACGATATAGTGCTCAGCAGTGCAACATGATGTTTAGCAATTTTCATTCAATTCTATTAGAAATGAGGCAGAGCACGATAGTCTCCAATATAATTTTAATTTTATTCGACCGATGTTTCTCCACCAATATCGCCACTTTCATTCTGCTGAGCACCACGTTATACTGCCGAGCACCACGTTTTATTGAAAGTGCATAGTGCTGAACACCATGAAGTTTACTAATTATTTATAAAATTAATTCGATAAATTAAGGTTTGATCCGAAATTCCTTTCAGACTTTCGGCCCGGGCCGAAAAATCATCGGGATTTCGGACCGGACCGAAAGTCCGGGACAAAAAATTCGTGGGTCGAAATTCATGTAACCCTTCGGAAAAATGGTTTATTTTAATTAAAAATCGTTTTGACGCTGGCAAGATCTGGTAAGAATCTTACCAGCTCTTATCTGCATTTGCTGAGGTTCTTATCGGATTATTACTAAATTTTTATATAAGAAGTGGCAGGAAAGTTGCACAAATTTCGTTCCCCAATATTTAAGTTCCCTTGTCAGAGAGAAAATTTCGGTAAAAGTTGTTTTCTCCGAAAAGCGAATGCCAAACATACCATTCGATGCAGGTTTGTTTGTTGGTCTCAAATACGTTATTAATTTTAATTGGAAATACATGAGAAGTGAAAACGGCGTAAATTAAGTAAAATAGTGAGGATGAGTGGTGTATATGAATTTTAATTGCCGATGAGATGAATGTTTTTATTCGTTTTTTTGCTTTATCGAGATAGTCTCGTCTGTATTATCAGGTGATCATAAAAGTTTGATAAAAATCCTTTTTTTGTAATCGAAAAGTCCGGTATTTTTAAGAAAATTCATTCTTACGATTCATACGTAAAAAAATAAACAAAAAAAACCGGATTAGATCCATAGATATATAAATAAAATTAAATAAATTTTTTAAGCACAATAGCTTCGGATTCATCAGCTGACTTTTCCCAATTCATTATTAACGAATGAAAAATCATTTTGGTTGTTTCAGCTATTTCTTCAAATGTTTGTCCAAATTCAGCAAATTTCGCTAATACGATAAATTCATCTATTGAATTAAATGTTGTATGTTGTATCATAGAAGCCATTCTCATTTGACATGAATCATCGGTAATTTGTTCAATAATATCATGATAATGTTCTTTAAACATGCTTTTATACAGAATAATATTTTGATTTTCGTCACATTTTTCTTTTTCATCATTGTTCTGATTATTAGTATCAAAATAAATTTCCATATTATTTTCTTGTATAAATTGTGAAAATGGATTAAAAGGTTGCCATAATTTATTTTCATTTTTATATATATCATCGAGACAATAATGAATATTATTTCTTTCTTCTATTGATAAACATTTATTATTCTCTTTATTTTTCATTAATGTTTCAATGAGTGTAAATAATTTTTGAATTTCATCATAATTTGTAATAGGTTGAATTTGTTTATCAATTATAGACAATATTTTAGGTCTTTCATCTATTAATTTGAATTTAAAATCATCAAGTTGATTTTGTATATAATTTATATTAAATTCTTGTTGTTGATCAGATGACGAATTAAAAAATATTTTTTTAATAAATTCTGATAATTGTAATTTATATTTTTTATCATAATTATCCCATTTATATAATATACAATTAATTAATTTATCGACAAAGATTTTATTTTCAAAATTTCTTTTAATATGTAGACGTAATTGATGGATACTACCAGCACGATATCGACGATTATTAAATTCACATAATACTTTTAATATTTCTTGAATTTTATCATTATCTATTTGTTCATTTGTATCGCGTATATATTTACAATAGCGAACCATTTTTTCATAATAGGGATAATATATTTTATGCATTTTTATAAGATGTTCGTTACAATTTTGTTTTTTTAATTTTTTATTATTATTACGTAATGATTCTGTTGCTTTAATAATAATTTTATTTAATACTCTACATAATAATGCACGAACATTATCTTTTAATTTTTTTAAATTCCATCCACTATATTTAACATATTCTATAATTTGAACATAAATGGTCCATTCAAAATTTTCTTTGGGTAATTCTGGACGTATATTATTACTAAATAATTGCCATAGAAAGGAGACGGGAACATTACCAGAAGCAGAATATGTTAATAAATTACATAATAAACATCGAATATTAATACAAAATGTATCATTAAAATTATTAATATTAACATCATTTTTTCGTCTTTTAACTAATTCATCAATAGCTGCTAATGTAATATATATTAAAAACCAAGTAATATTTTTATCTTGAGGTTGTATATTCAATTGTAAATCTCTTAATACAGACGCATTTGATATTGTATTTCTTGATATAATACGAAATGCTGCTATATCACTATTATTTGCTTCAGTTATCCAATGTAAATCATAAGGTAATTGTAAATTTTTATATTTATCAATTAGTGGAAAAAACCATGAACTTGTTCTTAAACCATCATAAGTAGCTGAGACAGGTAGACTAGTTACAATCTCATTTATTTGTTGTGGTCTTATAGGATCTAATCTTTCATTTGCACTTTGTTCTAATAATATGGATATCGTAAATGAATCAATATTAAAATCACCATTTCTATAATCAATAAGTGATAATAGAGGTTTAGTTAAATAATTACTCATTTTATTCTCTTTTATAGCTTGTAATATTAAAATTAAATTATTATAATCTAAATTTAACCATAATACACCTGATTCATAACATAAATTTTCTAATAAATTTGTAAAATCATCATAGGACATATTTTTTGCTTTTTGAACATTTTGTTTAATTGTTTCTTTTTTTTTTAATTGAGCCAAATTAAATTTAATAGATGATTGTTTTCGTTTTGATATTGTTAGACCAATTTTATCAACTAATTCTTGTGTATTTCTTTTTAATTTTCGTATTAATTCTTTAATTTTATGTGATTCATTTAATAATTTTTGTTTATTATCCATAGTCGATTCAAAAATATGAATAAAAGATTTTTTATATTCATTAATAACTTGACTTATTTTATTTTCTAATAATAAAACTAATTCATTTGAATATTTATTCATTATTTCACTATCGTATAATCGTTGACATTGTGATAGAACATCAAGAATTTTATATTTATTATTAATAATATTATCTAATGTCATTTCTATCATTTTATTTTTAAAAATATCAAATGATAGAAATTCATTATTAAATAAAATAATTTCTTTACTAATATCAAC